CACCCCAACCCAAAAAAAAAACCCCAAAAAAAAACCCCACGAAAAAAACCCACTGGGTACACTAGTTTTCTATTTATGTTTGGATTATTTGGTTTTTAGGTTATAAGCTAAGGTGAGAATGTTACGATGGACTTCTGGATACTGAGAGAGGATAAGAAATTATTAGATTTGTAGGAGGTTCAGGTTGCTTCTATTTATAAAATAAGAAAAGATCAATTGAGATGGTTTGGCTATGTGCAATGGAGGCTGTTAAGAGAGATCATAAGATTATAGTTACTGGTGCATGGAGTAGAGGTAGATATAAGTCACATAACATAAGTTAACTTGGTTTGAAGAAATTAAGTAGGATGTGATAGTGGTTAACTTAAGGGAGGTGGTAGCACTAAAGTGAACTGTGTGCTAAATAGAATTCATGGAACCGACCCCAAGAATTTGGAATGAGAGCTTTGTTATGGTTGTAGTAGTTTACAAGCTATGGAATCCATGTTTATGGACAAAAGTATAATCGCCTACTTGGCAAAGACATTATTCACTCGCCCGATATTTGACTCAGGTTCCTTTGTTCCCGTATAGGTGGCTGATGAAGACAAGCAGAGGCAACTTGAATCATCCAGCAGACACTTTGAAGATTCAGTAAATGAAAACTCCATGGAGCATATGCAAGCTGGATATGATTTCTCAAAGGAGGATTTCCTGGAACTAAAAGATCTATATGATCCTATATCATCCTCATCCAGTTCAGACAATTCTAGCTTTGTGTCCATGAACTCTGATGAGTGCTTTGATGCAGAAGCTTTGTTGAGAGACATCGAGAATGAAGGTGGCCTGGACATTGAGGAACATGTAGATTACAGGCTCAGCGTCGCTACAGCTGTCAGATCAAACCGGGTGGTCATTCAACCGTCACCAGAAGGTATAGTAGACCTATCACATAATACTCGATGTGTCTCGCCTTTTCAGTAGGATATCATCTAGGGGTTGTTTGGATGTTAAATTTTGGTTTTGGAAATATGACAATCAGCTTTCTGCAAAATCACAAACTTCTCCTTATTTTGTGTTTGGTTGGATGAAATTTGATGGTTCCGCTTCCTCAACAAAATCCTTGTGAGATGAGAGTAAATATGACAAAGGACTTTGCTAATATGGCAGGAAATGCAACAACTTTTCCAACGAACTTCTTCAAAACAGACAAGAACCAGTGGTTGGTTCGGCCTAAAGCATTAGCATGAGACCCATTTTTTCTTTATGGAATCACTAGGAGGATTCCAGGAAAACAAACAGGCCCTAAAAGGATAAACTCATGTGCTTTTGTTTCATTAACTATTAATAGAAGTGGCTACTCCCAAACCATTTGTTGACTAAAATAGTTATGAATTTCTGTTAAAGTGACAATTTATCCATTGGCTCAGCTTTCAGCAACTGCCGCAATTTGGTGGTGAATGAGAGCGAGACAACCACTGCTACTACTCCAGCGTACCCTGTCTTGCCTTCATCCAATATTGATCAACAAAATGATAGCGAAGGTTCCACATCCAGTTCGTCTAAAGGAAAAGGAAGTAACGGGAGTGGAAGTCAATGTGGAAGTTCACAAGGAGGCAGCCCTTCCCGGAGTTCAGGATCTAAGTTCCGAAAGATCGGAAAGCTTGGTAGAAAATACTGCTGCCTAGGGCCTTTCTAACCTTGCTTCCAGATTTTAATTCATCAGGCAACTTGATTAGAGCCTAATACAAGCTAAAGAAGGCATCAGCTTCCTTGTGAAGTTCTCAAAGTATTTATCAGTTTTTTAAGTTAAATAGTACGGGCAACTCTAATTGAGGCTGTGAAGTTCAGAACCCTCTGTTTGCTTGGCTGAGGACGAAATTTTGATTTCTTCCAAAATCAACAGTAGGTGAAAAGTTGATGTACATATATGAAAGGTAGAATATATACCATCCCTGAAGTGCAAACCATTTGGGTTTCCTACGGTCATGTAAATTATATGGAACAACTTGTATTCCATCAAAAAAAAAAAAAGCAACTTGTAGTCAATATAATTGAATTTGAGAAAAACGATTACTATCATTATTGAAAGTACTCTTAGTTATTTGGATAATACTTGATTATATAGCAGGACGGTTGCTTGGAGCCAACGTGGGAAAAATGTATTGAATGTCTCAGAAGCGGCTTTGAATTTCCTCCTATAGACTTTTGATAAGTTTTTTTTAAGAACTTTTGAGTTGAACACTTGACAGCAGTCTGTACATTGTATTTCAATTTTGATTTCTCTTTGTTTGCAGTACTATTTGTTTTCCTCGACTTAGTACTTTGCACATAGCCTTACTCTATGGGCGTGTTTGGTTCGCTTTAAAATATCCCGAAAACCCGTTTCCTCCTCCTGATAACATCGTCACCTTGATAAAACCCATTCTAAGTTTTTCTTTTCTCTGCTTTGATTCGCTTCTTCTCCTTGTCCCTCTAGCCGCGGAAATCCCCTTCACCTCAACTCTTCGTCTTTCCCCCCATTTCCGTTGAAAACGAGAGGAAATCGGTGAAAAATCTCCTAAAATATGTACTATTGTTAGATCTGCGGTTTATTTGGGTAAAACTTGTTGAGGGCTAGGGTTACCACCGCTTTCCCTCGTTTTTTTCACTCATCACGCTACGATTCCTATCCGATGCCTGCGGGAGTCCTAAAGTGTTGATTTCGTGCTTGATTTTCATATTTATCAACCCTCAAGTCCTCAAATTCATAATTTTGCTGGATCTTGCTAAAAAGGCAAGCTAAGGTATTATTTCTGCAAGTTTTAGAAATATTGTGATGAAATTTGGATTGCATTTTTTATAATTATTCTAAAAATTTCATGTTCTTAGCAAAACAACAACAATTTTTATTTTCTTGTGTGTCCCAAGTGAAACTTTCATTTACTTTAAGACAAACTATTGTTAGGTTTTTTTTACATTAATGATGCATTAAAGTTGTATGCTTACAAAATTTTCATATTTTGAATATGGGAGTTTATTTTCCATTTGGGATGAAAGGTTACACTTATGGTTTTCCAAATTGGAAAAATGCAACAGAAACTTGAAATTTGCAGTTATACAATATTGCTTCTTTGTTTTTAATTTATCTTTTAGATTGATGATTTCTTTTGCAAACCTAATGAGAGGGAAACATGCATAACCCCAAATAATTGTGTTAACTTTTAGATTGATGATTGGTTTTAAACACGTACTCAGGGATAATTGTGTTAACTTTTAATCCTCAAATAAAAAGATAAACAAAATTAACGAAAAGAGTGAGGTCTTGGAGAGATTACCGTCATGATGCAACTCATTAAAGAATGACAATCTGATATCAGATAGTAATTTGTTTTAGTAGAAAATACATCATTTCTTTAATGAAGTATTGTGTGCTAAGTGAGGGAACATGGCCATTTCCCTAAAGATTATGATGGGAGTGCCTGAGATTGGGAATTCTGCAATGAGGTATTATGTAGGCTGCACTATATTAATTGGGAACAAGGCTTGCAAGTTGAAGTTGTAATTATGCCTGAACTTATCCCTGAACTTTTGCCTCTTAAAATTTTCTTCTTTACCGTTCAATGCTTCGTGGGGTCTTAATTGATAGAAGTTTTGATTATTGACATTGCCCAATTTAAAAACTTTATTGATTAATTAAATATTGCAAGAGATATATAGGCAAGAATGTAAAATACAAGCACAAAATAAATGTACACAAGGCAGACTCAAACACAAGATATGATCACGGGGTTCGGTCCTCACAACCTACGTCTCCGCTCCTCACCTCGAGGAGATCTCCACTATCACGACACACCCGGTTTGGAAGTCGGAAATTCTCTACACACTCGGTTATCAAGTCAACCGATAACTCTCACAAAATCTCACAATATACATACACAAGCTACAACCTCAAGTGTTGGTCCTCACGTATCGACTCCCTCAAGTGCTCGGAATTATCACCTCTCACTAGGCTACCGACGCCACTCCTCTTAGTATCGACTCCGTCCTCACCACACACTCCTCTCGGTGTACAAGTATATTACAAGTGATCTCACGATAAGCACGCATATAATAATGGTTGTTCTCTACAATTGACGAGAACTCAATAAAGCCCACTCTCACTAAATCACACACCACTACCCAACAATATATTATATGAGATATAACAAGCTTAATAAGGGTGCGTGATAAATTAGTTTAAATAAAATCTAACTCAATAAGAACTAGCAATAAGATTAATAAGAAATAAATGCTATAAAGTTGAGTTAGGAAAACTTCTCTACAAAGAGAGGATGATTGGATATTGAGGATGAACTCCTCAACAAATGATGTAAGCTTCTCTTTGTAAAACAAACTCTTTTTCAAACCAAACTTGAAACAAGGCTTAAACACCTCTTAAACACAAACTAAACTCTTTCAAAACTTGATTAATGAATCTTCTTAGATGTAGAAGAGTTCAGAGCATATGGATATATATAGCATCTCAATACATCAGCTAAAACCCAAAGAAAAAGACCAAAAAGCCACAAACACACAAAACAGAAAACTAGCCGTTACTGTGCAACGACTCTCTGATGAGTCGACTTATGAGTCGACTAATGAGTCAGCTTATAAGTCGACTAATGAGTCGGCTTATATGAGTCGACCCAGCAGACGGAAAAACATAACTCCGCTGCACTTCATAAGTCGACTTATGAGTCAACTCATGAGTCGACTAAACGCGCACAGACCAGAAATGCACAGGAAAACTGAACTTTAAACCATGTTTAAAAATATCAAATAAATTTCAAAAATTATAAAATTTGGAGAATAGTTTATAAACATATAAATGAGCATGTTTCAAAAGAAATTTTCCAATAGTTTATAAACATATAAATGAGCATGTTTCAAAAGAAATTTTCCAAATGTGATTCTCCGTTTGTAAAATCTCTTAGTTTTGGTTTCAAAAGAAATTTTCCAAATGTGATTCTCCGTTTGTAAAATCTCTTAGTTTTGCAAAAACATGTAAATTGAGTGTATAATATTCTTAGTTTTGGACAATTGAGATAAACAAGGATATGAAACCTTTTCAAATGAATTTATAGACTAAACAATAGTTGTATAAAGTAAATTTTAAGTCTATACACTAATATCTCAGTATATTGTCAAAATCACATTAAAACCAAATGTGTGTGTTATGTGGATATTGAGCTTGAGATATATTCACACAATATAAAGTCCTATGCTAGTTGTACCAAGTTGATATGCATGAGAAGCTAAATCTTAGATCTGACTTGAGTTGAATAAGCTTCGTAATAGATGTGGCTCTTGAATTACTCAACCTGAAACAAAACAAATACTGAAAAAACATATTATAAATTGTTTGCAAAATCATCAAAACAAGATTCAAAAGTAGGCTCATATACATGAGTCCTAACAATCTCCCCATTTTTGATGATGACAAACAATTTTCCAATTTGATATATAAATACAGTTCAATATTTAATGAAGATACAAAGCAAACTGTATACTCACATATTACTCACATATTTCCCCCCTTTGTCACCATCGAAAAGGGGATAAGAGATAAAAGGAGAGTGAAAACTCCCCCTACCTATAAGCACGAGTGAGTAAAAAGAAATAGGGATTGCTCCCCTATTTAAAAGCCATAAAGATATATAAAAGATAAGATTATGAGGGTAATATAAACATCCTATATAGGCATGCATTTGCTACAACTAAGATAAAAAGTCATGAGGTATAAGAGAGCAAATGTAAACATCAAACACACTACATATGCAATATACATCAGTTTAAGAAGAGGTATAAGAGAGCAAATGTAAACATCAAACACACTACATATGCAATATACATCAGTTTAAGAAAAGACATCATTTATCACTGAAACACACTACATTACATATGCAATATACATCAGTTTAAGAAAAGACATCATTTATCACTGAAACACACTACATTTGCAAGCCAGGAAAGTCATACCACACAGTTTAAGAAAAACAACATCCCAACAAAACATAGAGTTTTACTACATCATAAAATAAAGCATCGTTCAATAAAACATAAACTAAAAGAACACGTCACAAGCCAAAGGATAACAGTCCTCATGGAGCAGATGGTCCTGGACCCGGTGGAGGATAATGATGCTGAACAACCCTGAAAAGATCGTCAAATCTGCCAATAAGGATCTCCATATCAGTATGCTGATGAGTCCTAATCCCACCAAGCTCCCTCCTAATATCCTCCTGAGACTCCCTAATCTCTGACTGAGAGGACTCAATCTCAGTAAATCTCATCCTAAGATCCGTATTCCTCCTGAGACTCCCTAATCTCTGACTGAGAGGACTCAATCTCAGTAAATCTCATCCTAAGATCCGTATGAGAATCATCTAACACATCAAGTCTTGCCTTGAGATCTCTATGAGACTCCTCTAACATATCAAATCTCACTTGATCCCGATGGTGCCAAAACTCAGCCTCAGCATGATAAGACTCCATCTGAGCAAAGAGATCCTCAAAATAACTAGGGGTATGAGAGGGGTAATTTTTAGCTCTAGGACTATACCGGGGAGGAGGAATCTCTCTATCAGAATCATGAGAATCAGGAGAATGAGCACGAGCTGAAGGATTATGAAGCTCATGGAAAGAGATAGGTAACTCCATCCTACGAAGGACTGATCTATCAAAAAGAGGACGAACTGAAAGGTGGATCTCATCAGACAAATCAACCCCGAAATGGAGGAATACTTTGGTGAGAAGAGCACCAAAAGGGATAAAGATAGAGGGATCAGATGCTAAGATGCCAAAAAGAACTTTTCCCCAATGAACATTAACGTTCCCTATTATAGCATAAATGATACGAGTAAGATCATGAGAGTAATGACTGTATGCCCCTATCTTAGGAATGATGTTATAACATACGATCCGACCAATAAGTTTAGCTAGATTAGAAGCATTTTTACCAGACAAGGGGAGACATTCACCAGGAAGAACTAGAAGGGCCTCAACGGCAGGATTATCATAGGTGACATCCATCAACAATTTGTCTCCACGAGGCAAACCAAGGATATCAGACAATTTGTCTACAAAGAATTTGATGCAAGTATCTTTTACTTTAGAGACAATAATACGAGTTATGGAATGAGGGGACTCAATGCGGAGATTTGCATAGAAAAGATGCACTAAGTGAGGATAATATGGAAAGTCATTCTTAGTGCTAAGGAAATCAACCATATTTTCATCTCCAAAAATAGTTTCCAGTCCAAAATGAATAAAGTCATCAAATTTAACATATTTACCAGGAAAAGGCTTAAGATGACACAGTTCACGATATTTAGGGATTAAATCCTCAGATATTTTTCATAATAATCAAGATTAGAGGAGGAAGGAGGAGGAACATTGGAAGATGAAGGTTGATCCCTTCCAGTCCTACGACGCTTAGGGCATGTTTGTTTCGCATAAAATTGAGCTAAAAGTGAAGGAAAAGCGCAATTTGAAAACTGACGCTGAAAATTCTGTCAGTTTTTTTTATTTCCGGCTGTTTGTTTCATTTTGAGCGGCGAAAGAAAAGGGAGCTGAAAATGGTGATTTGCGGAAAGTTTCTTTCCGTCCCCAAAACGTCGATTTTGGTGGAAAGTGATTAAAGCTCTTTTTTTCCCCCTCTCCTTTCACCCTAGGGTTCTGATCACCGTGCCGTTCCTTCATTCCATTTTCTCCCGCCTCCTGCTCTCGCTTCCACCCCGATTTCCCACATCAACTTCGCACCGCTTCCTCTTCCTCCAGCTCTCGTTCTAACTTCTTGATGCCATTCTCCTCTACAAGCGAGCTCGATCTTCATCCGTTTTGAGCTCTTGCGATCTTAAGATCGCTGTTCTTGAGATCTTGCGGTTGATTTGGGGATTTGAAAGAAGGTTGCTGTTCTTGAGATCTTGTGGTTGATTTGGGGATTTGAAAGAAGGTCGTTGTTCTTAAGATCTTGCGGTTGATTTGGGGATTTGAAAGAAGGTCGCTGTTCTTGAGATCTTGTGCGTTACTCAGGTAAAAAAAAACCTTAAACGCCTTTTGTTCTTGAGATCTTCAGCTCTTGCTCCGATTTGAGCACTGTTTTTTTCTCCGATTTTGAGCTCTGACATGTGGATTTTCATGATCTGTTTGAGCTTCGATTTTGGGCATTAATTTTATTTAACTTAATATATATGCTCTAGTTGCTTGCCTCAACTATTGATCTGAGTTCATGCTAACATGAATATTAGTAGCAATTTCCGATAACTATTTGCGTAAAAACAAATTAGTAATTGACTATGTTATTTATCATGAATGAAGGGCACAATTTGCAAATTTTACCATACTGAAACAACCTCGTGGTCTGTTTGACAACGTTATAAATTTTTTCAATATTAGTAGCAATTTTGTGGTCTGTTTGACTACGTTATAAATTTTTTCATGCAAATTTATCATGAATGAAGGGCATAGTTTGCGTAAAAAGAAATTAGTATAGTCGAAAAACATTTTATTTCTTTGAATGATGGGAAATGAATCAATTTTTATGGTTAGAAACTCCTTGTCTGCATTCAATTAGTTGATAGGTTCATAGTTATGGACTTTCTTATCCTTGAGCATGGCCTTTGTTTTTGATGAACTGAATACGAACTAAGAAACAAATTGAAAAATTAATTTGAAGGCAAACATTAAATGTGATGACAAACAATAAGCGCTAAGTGTGTAAAATCTCTGATAGCTCATTTTAGTGACTTATTAATGGCATTCTTCTCTATATGTAAACATATTATAGTTACCATTCTTCTTTGCCTAGCGATAAGAAGAGAAAAATATGTATTTTTAATTGTGGGTCATGGAACAGGCTTGAAGTCATCATATTGAACAATATGTATTTTTAATTGTGGGTCATGGAACAGGCTTGAAGTCATCATATTGAACAATGTGACCTGATTTTGTCTGCATTAGTTTCCAAATATATTTTTCATATTGAACAATGTGACCTGATTTTGTCTGCATTAGTTTCCAAATATATTTTTAAACCCAAGTCTAATAACATTGTCTTTTCATTTTGCAAATAGGACCTTAGCAATATAATTAAACAACCATCTTCGTTTACTGTTACTATCTGCTTTAATATGATGTTTGTATTTTAGATGGATGGTGATCTCGATGAAGAGACCGTAGTTAATATGTGTTCGAGTGCTATACTATCTGTCTTGGTTATGGTTATGACATTCATGAGGAGAATGCAAAGTAGACATAGATCTATACGTGCAGGTCCTAGTGAAGAGAAAATAATATAATAGCAAAATAGAAAACACCACCTGGATCGCATATATAATGGATTTAGTGATAGTTGTGTCAACTATGTTAGAATGCGAAGTGGTGCTTTTATGAAGCTTGCAGAGATATTGAGGAGCAACGATTTATTGCGAGACTCAAGACATGTTACAGTGGATGAGCAACTTGCTATGACTTTGAATATTTTGGGGCATAAAACTAAAAATCGAAGTATTAGGTCACATTTTATTAGATCTGGTGAGACTGTGAATAGGTATTTCAACAAAGTGTTAGAAGCTATTTGCCACATACGACCATGCTTTTTAAGACAAGCACGGAATGAAGTTCTACAGGAGATCCTTAGCAACCCTCTATACTATCCTTATTTCAAGGTATTCTCTCTTTAATTTGTGATTAAAAGCATGTTCATTTAATTTAAAAAAAAGATTCAATTGTAATTTTTTGTTCTCTAGGATTGTATTGGTATGATAGATGGTACACATGTTGATGCTATGCTACAAAGAAGCAAAGGAACAGGTGAAACAACATAGAAGAACAATATGAATACCCGCGACAAGGAACACTGACATACATAGGTGCGATAGTAGAAGGTGTTGTGCACACAAACAGAGTGGCGCGCCTATGGGAAGTTGTAGATCTATTCGCTAGCTTTTCAACGCATCTTGGATCACCTCATTCCGAGATCGGACGAGGAAGTTAGAGCTAAAATACTCGAGAGGTGCGCGGCAGTGGTAACTGCCGTGGCAATACGCGTCACCGTTCACTGCCGCGCACACTGAGAAGCTAAAAACGTTATTTTTGATAGTTTTCTTAAGTTTCATACGGCCCACATGACTTATTAACTGCTGGGGATTACTCATGAACGTGGGGGAAGCAGTTACAAGCGAAAATCATACCCACTACCCACGAAAATCGTAGCATTTAAAGAGTTTAAAGTCGTGGGATGACAGTTATAAACTGGGTGGTAACTTCTCATTTGGCCGTGGCAGCAGCGACTGTCATGCCCAAAAGGGCATTTCTTCAACCGCGTCACCTATGGGTGACGCGCCCAAAGGAAATGTGTCTGGTCAGTTATTTTTCCCCCATCTCAGCAGTTATACATCTACATCCCTATAAATACCTCCTTATACACGGAAAAAGGGCGGATGGAAGGAGATTGGCGAGAGATTAGAGCAGAGAAGCTTCAGCTTTGGTGAGTCTTGAGCAAGAGAGAGAGTCTTCATTCTTCACAAACATTCTCAAAAAAGTTTTTGGCGATTCCTAGAGATCTAAGCTCTGCCTTGATCTTTGGAAGAGTGAATATCTTACATCGATAAGATATTCGCTTAAAGATTCTTACTTCGATAAACGAAGAAGAATATCCAAAAGCCTTCACGATTCAATCAGAATCTGTGAATCATTGGTCCACGGGCTAACGCATCCCCGACACAGGCAAATATCCCACAAAAGCAGGAGTTGATAAACAATTCCTGTGTTATTTTCTAGAGATTTATAATTTTCCTTTTGTTGTGTAAGAGAAGTCTTATAAAAAGGCTATTTCTTTTAAATTTATTATAACCGGCTAAAGATATAATGAATTCCACAATAAAACCAACTTTCGACGAAAACAATTGGCTGGATGGGAAGGTTCCACAAATTGGTTGGTATGCATATTTTGTGTTATGATGATGGGCTATTTTTAAGATATGCAACCAAAGTTTATAACAACAATATATTGGCGAGGTAATATATTGCAGCCAACATTGCTATTTATAAACTTTATGGCGAGGCAGATAATGAAAAAATAGCCTTTTCTGAGCACAACTATGATGATGGGTGGTAATCTTACCATGGTGACCACAATCAAGTTTTCTTGATTTTTTAGTTTGAACCAAACACTAGAAAATGAGGGAATATATTCACACATCAATTATTTTCTTTTTTTTTCAAGTTGAACCAAATACTAGAAAATGATGTAAAGTACTTTCACTACATATTTTTGAACGAAACAAACACAAGAAACATTTTTCAGGAAAGTGAAGGAAACACAAGAAAGTGAAGGAAAGTCATCTATGGAAAGTGAAGGAAACGAACCAAACATGCCCTTAGGCACAATATTAGACATGATGAGGGAAAATGCAAACAAAGTGAACTCGGATTTTAGGAGAGAAATACAAACCCTAGAAATTTCTAAAGAAACCCTAGATGAGAGTTCTAGAAGGTAAATTTTAGGAGAGAAATACAAACCCTAGAAATTTCTAAAGAAACCCTAGATGAGAGTTCTAGAAGGTAAAGCAAGGAGTGAGAGAGAGTGGCATACCTAGACAATGAAGGACCAAGAGGAGACAAAGCCACGACAGAGCTCAAAGACTGAAGATTGACGGACTGAGCAGAGGGAAAAGGCAACTTGGGGGAAAAAACGAAGAAAATGAAGAGAAAAAGAGAAAGGGATCGGTTCTTCTAAGGGTGAAGGAAGGGTTAGGATTTGATCAAAACACATGGATGGCTGAGATGTGGTCTCCAAAAGGTATCTAGGTCAAACGGGTCCAAAGCCAAGTGAATCCAATAAGAAAACAACCCAAACCCAAAAAACAGTAGCCGTAAGTCGACCTATAAGTCGACTCAGTAGTCGACCAATAAGTCGACTAATAGCCTGAAAAACAGTTTTTAATTTGTAATTTGTTTGTAATTTTTAAAAGTCTTCATACTTAATTATACTTATAAAACCACATGTCAACCATATCTCAAAAACCATTTAAAAGTTTTCTTAAACAATATTTATGTGTATAGATTTTCACAAGAAAACAGTTTGAAGCATATATTATAAGACAAAACAAAACACAAAAAAATCATGAAAGAAACTCAAATTAATTTTGTAAAGGCACACAAGTATTTTTGGTGCCGAATGAATTCGGGACATGACTCCCATCTTTTAAATCCAAGGTCCTAGGGTTATGAACCCATTTGGGTGTGTTTTGTGCACGGATACGATCAAAGCAAAAGTTGTATGCATGGTCCATACGATTGCAATTTGTGCAATGTAGAGTTTAAAATGGTTTGCGTTGACCAAATTGTTGAGCATGTGTCTCATTTACAAAAATAGGTTTATCTTGAAATTTATTTTGCAAACGAGAAATCCTTTTTAAGTCAAAACAAAACTTGGTCAAATGACCCAAACGACCATAAAAATTACACTTATACACATGGGCATGTTTATGATTATCATTATGTGTGTGAACATGTGAATGAGATGCACATGGGCATGTTTATGATTATCATTATGTGTGTGAACATGTGAATGAGATGGAGAAGCTTGATGGTGTGCATAATCATGTATAGGCTTGTTCATCTTTTGTGCATTTTGACAAGTTTTAGCTAAGTGGCCTTTACGATCGCAAATAGAACATTTGTAGATTTTATCATACATGCGTGCATAGTGAATAGGTTTCTTAGAAAAATTATCATTGTACTTTGCACACAAGTCCATAAGTTTCTTATTATTAACAATGCATGTTTTAAGAGTTGAATCTAAAGATAAAATGCGATTTTTAACAACATTCAACTCATCATTGTTAGTCACATGGGCATTGACATTGGAGCATACATGATTACTAAACTCATTTCTAATGTTCTTTACTTCTAGTATGTCATTGTTTTTCTCATGAGTTAACTTAGCAACATCACTTCTTAATCTTTCATTGCATTCTTTGAAATTAACATTTTCATTTGCAATGAAATCAAACTTAGATACAAGGGACTCATGAGTGGACTTCAATTGAACATGCTTGCTTTTCAATTCCTTAAAACTATGTTTCAATTTCTTGTTGTCATGCAATAATTTTTTAAATTCATATGCAAGCTCATCAAAAGAAATATCATCATCGTTTTCGAGCTCACGTACCTCACTAGGATCATCTCCTAGTGGAAGCATACATGAAGATGAAACTCCTTTAGATTTTGAGGCGGGATTTCCCAACTCTTATCGGATAGCCTCCAAATCACCTTGATGTGTTTCTATTAAATTCCAAAGCTCGTAAGCGCTATCAAAAGAATCAAGAATGTTAGCAAATGATAAGCTAAAGGCATTGATTAAGAATTCTAACAAATACTTGTTTAAAGAAAATAATCTTTTGTCATCATTATTCCACTTGGATTTCTCCGTAGTGGGAACTCTATAAGCACAATCGATAATTTTCCAAATATCAATATCATTAGATCTAGAAAATAGCTTAAATCTAATACACCATTGTGCATAGGGAAAACTATCTAATCTAGGAGCAATATTTGTAGCATAACCGAGACTAGGTGCATTAAACATGTCCATGATATATGAAGCAAGAAAGCAAATAAGATCAAAACAAGATTAGCAAGATAAATAACTTGGATCTTTAACTCAAGGCGATTAGTCCTTAAAATAAATAGCACCAAGCTCTGATACCAATTGTTAGACCCTAAAGGGGGGTGATTAGGGTCTTAAGCTAATCTAATTCAGTTTTAAGCCAATTAAAAACTTTATAGATTAATTAATTCTTGCAAGAGATATATAAGTGATATATGAGCAAGAATGTAAAATACAAGCACAAAATAATTATACACAAGGCAGACTCAAACACAAGATATGATCACGGAGTTCGGTCCCCACGACCTACGTCTCTGGTCCTCACCTCGAGGAGATCTTCACTATCACGACACACCCGGTTTGGAAGCCGGAACTTCTTTACACACTCGGTTATCAAGTCAACCGACAACTCTCACAAAATCTCACAATGTACATACACAAGCTATAACCTCAAGTGTTGGTCCTCACGTATCGACTCCCTCAAGTGCTCGGAATTATCACCTCTCACTAGGCTACAGACGCCACTCCTCTTGGTATCAACTTCGTCCTCACCACGCACTCCTCTCGGTGTACAAGTGTATTACAAGTGATCTCACGATAAGCACACATATAATAATGGTTGTTCTCTACAATTGACGAAAACTCAATAAAGCTCACTCTCACTAAATCGCACACCACTACCCAAAAATATATTATATGAGATATAACAAGCTCAATAAGGGTGCGTGATAAATGAGTTTAAATAAAATCTAACTCAATAAGGGTGCGTGATAAATGAGTTTAAATAAAATCTAACTCAATAAGAACTAGCAATAAGATTAATAAGAAATAAATGCTATAAAGTTGAGTTAGGAAAACTTCTCTACAAAGAGAGGATGATTGGATATTGGGATGAACTCCTCAACAAATGATGTAAGCTTCTCTTTGTAAAACAAACTCTTTTTCAAACCAAACTTGAAACAAGGCTTAAACACCTCTTAAACACAAACTAAACTCTTTCAAAACTTGATTAAGGAATCTTCTTAGATGTAGAAGAGTTCAAAGCATATGGATATATATAGCATCTCAATACATCAGCTAAAACCCAAAGAAAAAGACAAAAAAGCCACAAACACACAAAACAGAAAACTAGCCGTTACTGTGCAACGACTCTCTGATAAGTCGACTTATGAGTCGACTAATGAGTCGGCTTATAAGT